TCCGATCTTGGTTGTTGCAGGGGCTGAAGATGCACTCATCCCATTGAAATCCGCACAAGTTTTGGCTTCAAAACTTGCCAATTCTGTAAGTTCTATATCCTGCGGCCAAGGCTGTAACAACCATTGTTTATGGGTTCTTTTTAATCTGAAATCAACAAAACTTACTGCCTTGCAGAGGTTAGTAGCGATAAATGGATGTGGCCATCTTCCGCATGAAGAGAGTCCTGAGGCACTGGTTTCTGCTTTGACATCCTTCATAAGCCGGCTGGTACCTAGACCACCAGAGACATAAACTCCATGGATATAAAATCTGAATTCTGAATTTGTCTTGGTTCATACAACTTGATGAAGCAAGCTCTTTATTTTATCATTTGCTAGTCTTCATTTACATATGGAAAAGAAAATCGGGAAAATCCATTCAGACAATGGTACAGGAATTGTTTGTTACTCATGTATCGAGCAAATCAGACATCAGAGTCTTCCTAAATGGATCAAACCGAGCCAAATTTTCTGCAACGCGCTTAGTTGGGAAAACATTATCAGCCCTCATCCTGTCCTTCATCCCATAGGCCGGAGATTTTGCATTCAGATAGGCCAAGATAAGTGCTTCATACTGCCTCAACAGAGCAGTATAGCCAACCTCTTTCATCCTCTGGAAAATCTTCTCTGAATTATGGATATCACCCCTTTTTGAATATTCGTCAAGGATTACCATGAAAGTATCGTACATCGGTCTCATTTGGTTCTCCGTGATGACTTTATTCAATATCAAGTCAGCCTTCCCAACTTCTCCAGCTCCAACAAAGAGCTTCACGAGCGCATCCCACGTTGATGGGTTCATCTTAAGCCCCATATCCACCATATGTTTAATGAGATCCTTACCCTTTGTTAGCATCTTGTTTTCAGTGTAAACCTCCAAGAGATTAAAAAAGGGCCTCATAGGGAAAAGTCTATATTTCTGCTTGAGTTTCTCAAATACTGCTTCTGCTTCTTCAATTTTCTTCAGCTTTCCCCATGCTCTAATTGCAGCAACGCAATTGTCATATCTCAGGGTTTGTTCACAGACCTTCCAAATTCTTTCCACTTGATCGCTTTCTCCTAAGTCAGCATAGAGGAGAAGCAATCGAGGGCAAACCCACGGATTTGTCTCCAAGTCTTCTCCTTCCATCTCCTTCATAACTTCTTTTGCTTTTTCTTTATGCCCAGCAGCAATATAGTGCTTAGCCAGAACACCTTGTACCTCTTCATCTGGTTCAATACCCTCTCCCTTCATTGTCTCCACAATCTGATCCATTCCAGTCACATCACCAAATGAACCTTTTGCATCTATTAAAACTTTATAGGTAAATAGGTTGGGCTTCACATTTTCTTTCAGCATTAGTTGTAAAATGCTGGGTATTTTCTTCTTCTCTTGCCTACTGTAGAGGAGAAGCAGCTGATTGTAAGCAAATATACTCAGTGGAAGGTTCAGCCTCTTCATTTTGTAGAAAACTTCTTCTGCCTTCTTCACGTTTCGCTTAACCACACAGTTGGCCAGAAGGGTTCTGTATACCTTTTCACCCCTGAAAGATGCTGGAATCTTCTCGACGAAGTCTTCAGCCTTCTGCAAACTATGTACCTTGGAAATCAAGTCCACATAAGAAAAATAATTTTCTTCGGTAAACTCGACTTGTTTATTTGCTTCCAGCCACTGAAACAGCTGCATGGCCAAGGGAAACAAAAACATGACGGGTTAAAACTTAAAACCAGATACTAAAGAAATCTAATGAATTTCGTTGTTAACAATTTTGCAGCCATACTCTTGCGCACACATGAAGATTGTCAATACACAAAGTGGTACGACAGAAATTCTGAGGTACTAGTGATTAAGTTTGATACATTTTTGTAGACTGACATTGAAGAGAAAAATAAAAAGAAATGATTACCTGCAAAGCCTTAGAATACAATTTGCGTTTACGCAGATCGTATATAGCCAGATAAATCTCTGATTCGCTCAGATCTTTTCCTTCTTTGGCCCACACATGCAGAACACTCTTTACTGATGTACTTGAAGAGGTAAAAATGGCTTCAAACAGCTCAGAGTTAGCTCTCTTCCTCTTTGTTTTCTCCTCACCCAAATGTTCCAGTTCGTTTTCCAGAGCTTTTGCAGAGGCATCTTCATCACCACCAAGCTCCAACTCCAATGAGGAATCATTTTCAAGTTCCCTCTTTGTGCCACTCTGTTGCACATCCTCAGAAGCAAAAGCTGACTCTAGTTCAGAAAAACTGTCTTCCGACGCTTCATTTTCTCCGTCATATTTTGAATCAGCATTAGAAGAAAGCAAGCACCCTCCAACAAAGAAACTGGGATAGAAACTTCTTGAATAATAGAATCCCAAAAATTCTCGAGATTTATCAAGAACCACTGCTGATGACACAAAAGCTCTTTCCTTGGATATGGAGTTACCACTTGATGCTTCTAGTTTACTAGCCGTAGCCAAGGAAGTTGCTATATTAAATCTCCGATTCCTAAAACCGAATAAAAGCTAATTTTCAAAAATTCACAAAGAAACCATACAAATTGGAGAGAGAAAAAGTTTGAACCACATTGATTCCTTGCGAGGAGGCAAAAAAGAAAAAGAGGGTTGCTTCTTTACCCACTTTGAAATATTTCAAGGATTTCACGCTTTGCCCCTAAAGGCATAACACTTGAATCTACGAACTTCACCAAGGGAAAAGAAAGAGCAACTCAATTTCTCTACCACATTCCATAGCATCACCGCAGCATGGAATCTTAAATTACGGTGCTTTACCTTCCCAGAATCTTGAAAAGTGAATTCATTCCTTGGACGGAGAGCTCTGGAACCTGCGGATTGAACAACGTAATACGATCAAACTTTATGATTGACAACGCTAGCCAACTCAAAGAAACGATTTTCATTCCTCATCGGAAAAAAAAAACACAGGAACAACATCCTAATCGATCCGAATCGAATCGAATATAGAAATGGAGACGGATAAATCGCTTACAATTCCGGAAATTCCCTGGGTAAAGTTTTTGAGAAAGAAAATGCAGAGGGACGAGACGAATTGCAGAGTTAGGGTTTAAGCCTTTAAGGGGTTTATTGCGCCAACGGATCTCTGACTTTGACCGTATTAACCTTGCGTCAAGCGATTCGATATGGCAGTCCCTGATAGGGGTAGAATGGTAAATTCCTACTAAGGGGCTGTTTAGCTCCAAGCTTAAATATGAAGAAGGTTACATTTGATTAGTCACGTGAATATTGAATATCCGTCATTTTAATCATCTGAGCAGATACACATAAGAAGCATTTCTACAGTTTACTAATTACTGATTAATTTCCTAATCAGGGCAAGTCCAGAAGTTTCTATGAAGCTTCATTTCGTCCAGTACAAAAGGCAAACAATGGTGCGAAATGGTGGTATGTTTCCACTCTTCTCCGCAATCAATCGCTACCGTGAAGCTTTTCCGGCGACCTAAACCCTCGCCGGAGTCATTCTCTCATCTTCTCTTCCTCGGCGTCACTACCTGTTACCGGCCATCGCCGCCGGTAAGCTCGCTGCTGTCGCCGTTTTTCTCGAAATCGTTCTTCTTCTATTAGGGAGAAGAACCCGGACTTCATCTTCAACCTTCGTCTCTGCCACTTTCGCTGAGAAATTCTTCTCCCTAATATCTTCCTTTAGGTTGTTCGGCTCTAAGAGGAGCTTCGTTTGCTCTGCATGCGATGTTGCTCAGTTTTGATGCCACATTTCGGGTTACGATTTTTAGATTTCCCAGTTTCACAAAAGCCATGTGTGCGATCTTCGACAGATTGTCTCCGTTATTTGCGGATGAACTGCCTTGTCTCGTTGCTTCCTTTGGAACGTTGAGACGAGCTCCTTTCCTTTTGGTGGATTGTGTGACCTCCAAGTTTTCGTCTCCTTAGATTTGTTTAACTTGATTTTCTTGGTAAAGCCTTTGTAGTCGAAATTTATTTCTTTTAAAATGGCTTTGAAGATAGAATATTTTTCTGCAACTTGTATAGTTGTGGAGGATGGGTGAATCTGCCTGTAGCACTGTCCTTAGCATATTTTTTTTTATAATCCGGAAGTTTATCGGGTATTTCGCCCAACTATATTTCCCAAAAGACTCGGAAAATCCATGTGAATGTCCCAACTTCTAAGTGAGGACTCGAACCCGGGTTGGAAAGAAGTTTTGCTCTCTTCTTTACCAGTTGAGCCATCCAAGCTTGGATCCAATGCGTGGTTTTAGTTTGAACAATTTTTACCCTTTTGATCATAACCTATGTTTGCGAGTTCTGTAATTTTTTGTAATGGAAGATTCATATGCTTTTATTTTTTGTGATGTATGTACTCATACCAATGCTGAAACTGTGCTTTAGTGTATCTCTCTTTCATGTTAACAATGATTAGAACTTTCTCTTGTCAAGTACTTTTATATGGCTATACATGGCTGCATCCTTGCTTCCTTACGTTACAGTTTCCTAATATTTCAGGAGTAAAATTTTTTCTAGCTTGGTGGAGATATACGATGTTGCAACAGAGAGACACGGCTGATTTTAAGTGGGGTTCTAAAACAGGGGTTGGAAGGATAAATAAAGAGATCAAATTCTACGAGTCATTTACCTCTGGTGGCGTGGAGTACCGTCTATTTGATTGTGCATACTTTTACCAGACAGGTGACTGTGAGACGTCGATCGGTAAGCTCATCAAGATGTTTGAAACACCAGAAGGTGAGAAGAAAGTAAGGATAGTGTGGTTCTTTCGACCTCATGAAATCCGTGATTTCTTGGGAGGTTATGACCCTCGGTGTAATGAGCTGTTTCTGGCTTCTGGTGACGGTCCAGGCCTTTCAAATATCAATGTCGTGGTAATTTTATATGAGTGGTCTGACAGACTTAATAGATGCTACTTTCTGATCTTGAATGAGATTCCCTAATGTCCCCCAGAAATAAATGTGAATTAATGACATGTGTTTCCGTGTTTGTGAGATTGCTTTTGTTTTCTGTTTTTGCTCATTCAGGAAGCAATAATCCAGAAATGCACTGTTTTATGCACATCTTGTGACCCAAGAAACCCGCAACCATCTGGAGATGAGTTGAGAATGGCTGACTATGTCTTTTCCCGCACGTTTGATGTAAGACAGTCTATTATATCAGGGGCCTTTGGAAATGAGATAGCTGGGACTAAAGGTTTGGCTAGAATGGAGGTCTTTTGTATAATCCCATAATAGCTCTCTACTTATGGATATCGATATGCTAATCATATTCCTTCTCCTTGCTCTAATAATGCAGTGGAGCATTTCTTCAACAAGATAAAATACAAGAAGCTCATAAGCCGCCCGAGTTCAAACCCAGTTCTCGATTCCAGTGATTCTTCAGGGAATGCTTTTCCTTCTGGGCAAGCATCAACACAGTCGTCTGACAATCGAAAGCTGACTGGTACAGCAAATCCATTTAAAAAAGGTTGAACTCTTTTTTTTTTGGCTTCTGTTGTCTATCATGTTTTTCTAACCTTGATTTCATTCACTAGGCTTACAATTGAGAGAGGGTGCTGGGCAATCACATAAGCAAAAGCTTATTCCCGATCTTGATCCTGGTTCTAGGGATCGAGCTTCTGATAATGTCATGGCTAGCAACAATACCTTTGCATGCCAATTTAATCTTAAGACCAAAACCAGATCATTAGAGGATTTGGTAGGTTCAGGTGCATCAGAGATTCTGCAGATCCCTAAAAAGACGAAGCTTCTTTCCAACAAATCAGCAATAGTTGAATCAGATGATTCAACCCCTCAATCATCAGAGCAAAGAATCAATGGGACCAATCTAGAAAGCCCTAAAAATCCAGACACTGTACGTATGATATTTATCCTTCTTTCTTTTTTTCAGTTGATTAATTTTAGAGAAAGGTTTGCTATTCAATGTCAACATGTACAATAATATGTTGCAAAGTACCACAAAAAAAAAAAAGAATATGTTGCAATGTCAGCACAGAGAAATGTTTTACAAATGTAGAAGTAAGCATCTCAGATTCTATTCCCTTGCGATTTATCAAATTTCTTCTCCCGTTTATCTACCTGCAAGATAAAAGAAATTGGTTCAAGGAACTGGTAACTTCTCTCACACCCTGGCCATTGTTTTTCCCTTTCATGTAGTCTAGGTGCGTGACAACTATGGTTCTGTCTTGTAAGATGAATCCAAGATAATCAGTTACCACAGCCCATTTTTTTTTTTTTTGAAACTGTACGTTTGTTTAATGTTAAATTTGTTCACGGGTTTATAGTATTTCACATGAAACCTAGGATGATGAAAACTTGGACTAAGTGATGATACACTTTAATATGGTACAGCCGTACGGATATTCTTGTGAACCGCATCATTAACGTTTAGTTGGCTGGTTCAAGCCTAAGTCTTGAAGATGAATTAGTACCTATGAGCGAATTTCATTTGTTCCTTTCTGTTGTAATATTCCTTTTCCAGCCTTTTGAAGACCGGCTAAAAACAGCTAAAGAAGAAGGCACCTTAGTCTTAATGGAAAACCTGGATCCATCATTCACATCGTTGGACATAAAGGTACGTTTTCTGGCCATGTGATGCAACTTTCTTCAACATTCATGGCAATGTCTCAAATGCATATAGATAGCCCACAATATCTTTTACAAAAAAAAAAAAAAAATTCATGACATCCAACTTTTCTGCATCTTAGATATGGTGATAAAACACGAATAGGTTTAGGAGATAAGAGTTAAAATCCAGTGGGCATAGCGGTTCAACATAAGAAAAATAATTTTCT